AAACTTCCAGGAATGTTATAGCCAAACTCTAGAGCTCCAAAGTCAAAAAGAAAATATTGCAAGCAGCCAGAAAGAAACAATTCAAATGTCATGGAGCCACAGTCAAGTTAACAGAAGGTACGAGTGTTTGTTTACTACAATGGAATGATATCTAAGAAAATAAAATTAAGGAGTGAGAAATAGGAATGCACTGGGAGAAAGAGGAAGGGAGAGGTAGAATGAGGTAAATCATCTTACATAAAAGGGATGCAATAGAGCTTATACAGTAGAGGGGAAGTTGGGGTGGGAGGGAAGGTGGCAGACAATGCTTAACCCTTACTCTTTGAGCATTGGCTCAAAGAGAGAATAACATACATATTCAGTTGGGTATAGAAATCTGTCTTGCCTTCAGGTAAGTAGGAGGGAAAGGGATAAGAGAAGGGGAGGACCTGATAGAAGAGAGGGCAGACTGGGGGAGGCAGTGGTCCAAAGCAAAACATTTTGAGGAGGGACAGGGTGAAAGGAGAGAGAACAAATGGGAAAAAATAAGATGCAGTGAAATAAACAATAATCATAACTGTGAAAAAATTTTACAAGTTTCTCAAATATATAGAGAAATGAGTCAAGCATATAATAATGCAAGTCATTCCCCCAATTGATAAATGGTCAAAGGATATGAACAGGCAGTTTTCAGATGATGAAATCAAAGCTATTGATAGTCAAATGAAAAAAATGCTCTAAATCACTATTAATCAGAGAAATGTATTTTTTTAAAGGACCTATATACACAAAAATATTTACAGCAGTTCTTTTTGTAGTGGCAAAGAACTGGAAATTGAGGATATGCCCATCAGTTGGAGAATGGCTTAAAAAAAATGTTGTATATGATTGTGATGGAATACTATTGTGTTATAAGAAATGCTAAGCAGGACTGCTTTCAGAAAAACTTGGAAAGACACGAATTGGTACAAAGTGAGCAGAACCTAGAGAACACTGTACACTGTAACAGCAATATTGTACGATAATCAACTGTGAATGACTTAGCCATTCTCAGCAATACAATGATCCAAGACAATTCTGAAGGACTCATGATGGAAAATGCTATCCATTCCCAAAAAAAAAACCTGATAGAGTCTAAATGCAGATTGAAGAATACTTTTTTAGCTTTCTTTATTTTTCTTGGGGTTTCTTTTTTTTTTTTTTGGTCTGTGTTTTCTTCCACAACATGATCAATATGGAAATGTTTTACAGGACTGCGCACACACACAACCTATATCAAATTGCCTTCTTAATGAGGGGAGAGGGAAGGGAGGAACAGAATTTGGAGTTCAAGATTTTAAAAAACAAATGTTAAAATTGTTTTTGCATGTAATTGGAAAAAATAAAATATTTACTTTTAAAAGTACAGTCATCAGCTTTTTGGCTCTGGGGGCGCAGCCTCAGAGCAGCCATTATCAAACTTTTGGCCTTAGGACTCCTTTACATTCTTAAAAATTGAGGAGCCTCTTTTCAATAGGCAAATACAGTCAGTATTTCTGACCTTGCAGATCCTCTGAAAAGCTCTCAAGGATCCACATGGGGCCCTAGATCACGCTGTGAGAACCACTGCCTTAGAGCATCCAGAGACACCCCAAAACCATGATGTGGCATCAGTTTCCATTTCCATATACTGCAGTTTACAGATGAGTCAAAATAAGTCACTTTGGCTGTCTGTTTCCACAACCCTTGCCAGGCAGATTGGTTGATACCTTTGGTCTGATCTTCTTAGCACATTGCGCCTGGATTCCCAGGCTGCCTCTAAGTAAGACACCGGTGTACATCACCTTGGGACTATCATGGCCAATGTGGAAATCTCTTTTGCGCAACTATGCACATTTGTTACAAGGAAGGTTGGAGAGGGAGAGTATAGCAATAAAGTTATCCTCTTTCCCCAAAGAAAGAGGGTCTTTCAGACTTTTTTTTAATGCACAGAAGAGAACAGAAAACCAGAATCATAAACAAGTAGGCAGCTTTGAAAGTTACATGTTGAATTTATTAACTATTTAAATGGAAAAGTAAGCTGTGTATAAACAGATTCATAGTACAATCTCTTTTTTTGTTATTGTTCTATTTTATATATGGAACTGCCCATTTTATATGGTATTTCTTAAGTTCAGAATAAAAATAATAAATTATTTTTAAACAGAATGACAAGACAGCATAGAGGGTCAGCCTTGGAGTTAGGAAGACCTGAGTTTAAGTCTTGCCCCCAATCTATACTAACTGTGTGACCTTGGGCAAGTCACTGAACTCTTCAGTTCCTCACTGATGGACACAGAAGTCAAAAACAACAACAAAAAAAAGGTCCCCCATACACTGTCCCAGACAACTGTCTAAAATCAGATGCCCATACATATCAGCAAATGGACTTTGCCTGTGAGGAGCTCCAACATGGATGAAATCACAGATCCAGACATTTAAAAAGAAGTAGAAGACCATCTCGGCTCTTCCATTTGTTAATAATTCTATGTTCTGTTATCCCTTTCATCTCTTAGTCCTTTGATCCAATGCTATTAAAGTTCTCACTAGACCACTGATTCTCCCAGGTGTCACCACAGCTACTTTATGTGGCTGCCATTGCCCAATGGTTGAGTAGCCAGTGAAAACCATGCCCACTGCACAATGGCAGCCAGCTATTGGAAGACATCTACTTCATTGGGCATCACATGGCAGCTATAGCAGCAGGCAGACAGCTACAGCCAGTCATATCTAGGCACCACTTCCATAAAAAGCTCATGATGGAGAATAAAAAGATGCTGGTGACTTGTTGAAATGGCCATTTTCATGGACCAGGTCAGTTAGAACTCAGCTAATGTCATGAAATTCAAGCGTTTTGGTCTCAGAAACCCTTTATGTGCTTAAAAAATATTTGAGGACCCCAAAGAGCTTGTGTTGATATAGATTATAGCCATCAAATTGCCATATTAGAAATTAAAACTGGAAAAAATTTTAAAGCATTTAGCAATTAATTTAAAAATGACAATAAAACCACAAGTTAATATAAATTACTTATTTTTATGAAAAAAAAAATTTTCCAAAGTGATTTAGTGAGAAGAGTGGCATTGTTTTACATTTTTGCAAATCTCTTTAAATGTCTGGCTTAATAGAAGGCAGATGGATCCTCATATCTGCTTCTGTATTCAATCTATCACAATGTTCTTCTGGTTAAATATATAAAGAAAAATTGGCCTCACACAGATATGTAGTTAGAAAGGGGAGTATTTTAATAGGCATATAACATCTTAGTATTATTATGAAAATAGTTCTGACATCAGGGACTCCCAGGAAGTGATCTGGGGACCACACTTTGAAAACTCCAGCTGTGGAGGGTGAAAGATGAAATAAATGACTGAGGAAACAAAGGTTTGATCTTCCAAGCATATCAGTTTATTAAGCAATGCATGGCAATTGCCCAACAAACAGGGACCAGACTGCCTCAGCTTAGGCCTGGACTCTGAATACAAGGGGAGATAGACTTTAATATATTTAAACAATAAATCAAATTAGGCTAATTAATTAAAGGAAACAATACAACATAGGTAATCTGATTTCTAGTTGGATGAAAGATTAGGGACTTTCCAAGTTGGGAGGGGGGGAGCAAACAGTGCTGGTCCCTGAATTCAGAAAAAGAGTGGTCTCACTACCCCCGAGTGTCTGTAAACAATCAAAGGAACATGGAAACAATAACTGATTGATCAGTATAGGGCCCGTTTTCAGATAAGACATATGGGTTGTTTGAGATGTACAATTGTGAGAAAACTCCTTACATCAATCTTTGGTTCTGACTGAGTTTCTGGTCAGTATAATCTAGGTCCTTATTAAGGGAGCTGTGAATTGGTTCAACCATTCTGGAAAAGAATTTGGAATTTTGCTTTAAAAATAATAATAAAGTGACCGATATTGTCCATTAGGGCAACTGGGTGGCACAGTGTATCCAGGCCTAGAGTCATTTAGACTCAAGTTCAAATCTGACCTCAGACACTAACTGTATGACCTTGGGGAAGTCACTTCACCCTGTTTGCCTCAGTTTCCTCATCTGTAAAATGAGTTGGAGAAGGAAATGGCAAACCACTCCAGTATCTCTGCCAAGAAAACCCCAAATAGGGTTAAGAAGAGTCAGACACAACACGTCCATACCCTTGTGACCCAGAGACCCCACTTATAGGCCAAAGGGAAGAGAAATCCTAAACATGCCAAAATATTTCATAGTAGCACTTTCTGTACTATCAAAGAACAGGACACAAAGTAGTTGCCCATCTCCTGGGGAATGGCTAAGCAAATTATGGTCCATGAAAGTAACGGAACTTAATTGTGAAATAACTGCCATGAAGAAATCAAAGACTTAAATGAACTGATGGCAGTGAAGTTCGAGAGGCAGGAAAACTATATGCAATAGAAATGAAACCAAAAAGACCCTGAATGTTGAGCAACTAGGATTCGGAAGCACGGAGTTGTAGCTGCAGTTACTTCCTTCCCTTCTTAGAAAAGGTGGGAGACTGCGGAGGTGGAAAATTGCATACACCCTCATGGACGGTTGGTTCTGCTGTCCTCTTTTTTCTTTATTGTTTGTTACAAGGGAATTCTTGCTGGATAGGGAAGGGGAGACAGGATCTACTCAGAATATAAGAACAGGAGCACTGGATATAGAGCAAGAAACCTGAATTCAAATCCTGGCAATGAAATTACCATGTAGCAAAGCACAAGTCACTTCCCTTGTCCTGGGAAGTAGGTGGTGCCCAGATTTTTCTCAACCATGCAGATGGGTTAGCTGAAGCCCACAGTGGGGAAAAAAATTTGCTCAGAGCCATGGGCACTGAGTGGTAGCACCAGGATTCAAACCCAGATCCTCCGACTAAATCAATATTCTTACCACTACACCATTAACTGCTTAATCTGGGTCAGTCCCCTCCACTTCAGCACATAAAGAGCCCTCCCTGCCCGCCCCAATCTCTCCCATAATAAAAATACTTGCAAGACAAACATAGCTTCACGCATTTATTGATAAATGTTCAATAAAGCTTTCATCGAACAGGAAGGGGCCAACTGTACACGATTGTCTCAACACGGATGGTGGGGCTTACACACGGACATGGACACAAACACACAGACACATAGACACACACACACACACATATACACGCATTCACACACACATACATACATACAAACTCACCATTTTAACTTCATGTTTAGGGTGCAACAGATTGGCCAATGGAGGCTAAGGGTAGCTGATGGTCAGACAAAGTTCTCTGCATCCTGTGGGCTCCTCTCATGGCCTGTACTAAGGGCAAGCAATACCTGCCTGAGCTGTTAGCAGCTATGGGGAGGGCTTCCTGGATACCCCCTCGCCTGCTTATGCCTCCTGATACATTCTCTTCTCTTGAAATATTTCGGATTAAAAAAAAAAACACAGGCCCTCCTCTCCCCCATTTCATACGATCTCAACCCTCCCCTCCGACCTCAATCTCCTACCTGCCAAACTTGTCTCTTTTCAAGGGTTCAGACGCCTAAGACAGTTTTAGTAGTACCATCCTAAGGCCTGGGGCAGGGCAGTGAGGGGTGGGGGGTGGGAGGCTGAAATCAAGAGGAAACAGTGGCATGATCAGAATGATCCGAGGTCACATCTACTTTTCTGTCTTATACATTTTTTGATATTGTGGGAAAAGCCTGGACTGTGAGGCCTGGCTCGCAAGTTCCTGCAAAAAGCAGGCTATATGACCTCAGTCCCTCTCTGTACCTCAGCTGCCTTGCCTGCAAAATGGGGAGATTAATACCAACATCACATGGGGTGTTCTGAGGAGCAAATAAGTAGACAGATGAGAAGGTGTTGGGGGAAAGTAGCAGCATGGCTCAGAAAGGGGGGGGGAGGAAGAAGCCTTCTCTTTCTTTGGGGTCTGGACTCTAGCCTTGGTGGGAGATGGGATCTAGCACTGGGATCCTGGTAGATGGCAGAGTCCCCGCCTTGACTTCAGTAGCATCCCCCTTGGGAGGCTTTGCCCATGTTGTCTGGGCCCTCAAACCCATGAGCTAGTGGCTAAGCCCAGCCCACTCCCAATCAACCCCTCACTCCTCCCTGTCCTGGAAAAATTGGCAACATGTCTCCTTCAGGACTAGGGGAGGGAGAGGAAGGGAGAACAACTTCTTTGTTTTTGAAGAATCACAAAGTCATGTAAATTTTCCAAATCCAAATTTGCCTGACTTTTGTTTGTTTGTTTGAGGCGGGGAAAGGGGAAGGATGAGGAAGCAAGGCCTTTGGCCAGGTTCAGATCCTCTGTCCTGGCCTGGACTCTGCTTCCCCGTCATTCCCCAAGGATCCAGGCTTCAGAGGGGATGAACCTAGTTAAGTTCCCACCTGCTGGAACCGTGCTCACTCTGAGATTGCAGCAACCCTGGGCTCCCAGGAGTGGCAGACACACAAACAGGCCTGCCCTTCTAGCCTGGCAGATGGACAGACAGAAAAACCTGCTTGTACAAAAAGCACATACTTCGTTTGACCACGTTAAACAAAATAAATTAAACACACATGGCCCCTGCTTAGATACTCTCTAGGCTGAAGAGGGTGTTTCCTTTACATTAACGCCCAGCTACGGCCAACGGAGAAGAGGTGGTTAAGTGGGCCCTGTGTCCCTCTCAAGGGCTCAGCCTTGGCTCTAGAATGGGCAACCCAGGGTTACAGTCATCAGCTGGAGCGATCTCTAGGATAGATGGCCATTCCACAAGGGATGCACTGAAGTCAGTGCTGCTGACCCTGGAGGGCCTTTGCCCACTCTTGGGAAGGCTCTCCTTTTTATTATTATTATTAATATTATTATTATTTTCTTAATTTCATAAATATAAATAGCAAAGGGGATGGCGGGGGGAGAGGGGAAGGGGAAGTCTGGAGAGCCCAATGGATGATGGCGCCATGTTGGGGGCTAGCAGAGAGTCCACAGCTCAATGGCCTTTCCCAGGACTCTTCCCCCCACACCCCCCAAGGCACCAGGCCAGAGTTGGCCTGCTGGAAGTCGAACAAGCCTTTCCTCTCCTCCCTATCTGGCCTCAGCACAGGGCTGGGCACATTGCTCCATGCAGGAGATCAAATCCCTTCCTTCTCTCTCCACAAGTCTGGGCGTGGAACAAGGTGGGGATGAAGGGATGAGGGGCATCTTTTGTTTCTTTAAAGCCAGGAACCCACTGACAAAGCACCTACCACTTCAGGGGCCAGGGAGAGGGGTTTGAGATGGGGTGGAGGCAATTAAAGCATCAATCAAGGATGATTGCCTTGGAGCAAGAGCAGGGGCAGGGGGGAGGACGATTCCTTCATTATTCCATCACTATAGATTCACTGCAATGTCACAAAAAAAAAAATAGAACTCTTTATATAGATTCTCTCTTTCTGAGGCTCCGTCTATGTCTGTTTCTGTAGCTCTTTGTGTCTCTAGATCTGTCCTGGAAGTTGCATTTGCATCAGTCTCTGTCCACTCTGTAGCTCACTCGGCATCCTCCCACATCTCTGTGGCTCTGTCTCTCTGTACCTCCTGCCCCATGAGGGGTCGGTATGGGTCCCGGCAGGGGTGCCCCCCCGCAAAGGGGCCTCGCTGACCCACCTGCCGCCACGTAGAGCCAGGATATCGAATACCCACCTCCTTGGCCGTCGCCACCTAGCACTGGTAATGTATGTGCTGGTGAACTTTGCCTTCCACGTGGGAGTGGGAGTGGGTATGCGTGTGGGTGTGGATGTCTGTATAGAGCTTAGGGTACAGCTTGGTGGTGGGGGCTGGGCCTTGGCCCAGCAGGTGCTGCTGTGCTGGGGGGGGCAGCTGGGGCTGACCCCCCACCCCATAATCCTCGTAGTGCCCTGAGGTCAGGCAGTCCTTGTCAGGCATGGCAGCCAAGCCAGCCCGGTCCCGAGGGGGTGGCCGGTGGCCTGGCGCTGCTGGGGGCGGGGAACACGGCTTCTTCTTGGTCTGACACAGCCACAGCAACACGGTGCCCAAGATGAAGACTGCGCCGGCTGGGATGCCAATCACCACTGGCCACGGCAGACTGCTGGTTGATGAGGGAGCTGCAGGGCCGCTGGGGGGCTTGGGGTCTGTAAAGGGGAGATGCCAAGACAGAGACAGAGAGACAGCCAGGGAAAGTGACACAGGAAAAGAGACAGAGATGGACACAAGGACAGAGAAAGATTGAGACAGATGGGAAAGGGACATACAGGCCCACAGAGGGAGAAGAAACAGGGAAACAGAGGAAGAGAGAAACAGGACATACAGGTCGAGGAACAGAGAAGGACAGAGAAGGGGGAGGGGTGATACAAAAGGAGACAGAGGGAGAGAATAAAGGGAAAAGTTAAAGAAGGATGAGGATAGGGAATGAGGAACATGGAGAAGGAGGGAGGCATGGAGACAAAATGAGAGGGGCAGGGAAATGAAGCAAGATAATGAGAAAGCAAGAGACACGAAATGAGGAAAACAGAAACACAAAAAGGATAAAAAAAAAAAGTCACCATGAGAAGGCAGGGCAAAGAGGAGCAGACTGCTTGGTGTATTAATTTAGGTCCCAAGGGGGCTGGTAGAATAGGGCTTCCCTGCTCGTGGCCCTCAGAGGGAGGCCACACCAACCCCCGAGGAGAAGGAGTTCAGGGGGACATGAAAGCCCTCGGCCCTGGGGAATTTTGAGGCCCCCTCAGGGAGGAAGGTTCCCGTCGGGTTTGCGGGTGCTCATACCACCGGGCTTCAGAATCACAAACTGATTTAAGGACCATAGAAAGGCTCTCCGAGGTTGTGTAGTCCAATCCTGCATTTTACAGGTGAGGAAACTGAGGTCCCAGGGAGGAAAAGGAACTGACCTTATCCAAGGTCAATACAAATATTAAGCGGTCACATTGGGATTTTAAACTCCAAATCTACTGCACTTGACCCCCTCCCATACCGTGCCGTCTCAATCAGATGCTCCCCATCATACAACAGCTACCTCTTGGGACCTCTTTTATTCCCAGCCCCACCCACCCCCAAACACTAAAGACAGAGCTGTGGGGCTATCAGAGGCACATTGTAGAAAGGGGGCTTGGGAAAGGACACTGGACACATAGATCCCGGAGGGGAGAGGACCCTGGAGATGGCAGGAACCCAATCCTGGGAGCCAGCCCAGTGTCGGGGAGCCCAGAGCTCTGATGCCTCACCTGGCAGCACGGTGAGGAAGGCACTCCGGAAACTGTAGCCCATGGTGTTGGCTCCGAGGCAGATGTACATGCCCGCATCCTCCTGCCGGGCCCGGGTGATCATCAGCTTGTTGAGGTAGGAGCCGTCGGGCCGGGACCACACGTCCCCGGTGGGGAGCACCACAAACTTCTGGCCGCCAACGTCAATGGTGGAGTTGTACTTGCTCTCCGTGCCGTACTCGACCCGCTTGAGCCACTGAATCACCGGCTTCACGTCACTGCGCACCTTGCACTGGAAGGACGTCGTCCCGCCGAAGTCCACGGTAGTGTTCACTGGGTGGGTGCCCGTCAGGATGGGCTTGGAGCGGGTCCGCTCTGAAATGGGGTGGCAAATCGCTTGTCAACATCTCTGCTCCCCATCCGGTTCCCAGAAGAATCAAGGGCCCCGGTCAAGCAGAAAAAGACCCATCTGTACAAAAATATTTCTAGCAGCAACTTTTGTGGTGGCAAAGAACTGGAAACCAAGGAGGACGGGCTTCATTTGGGGAACGGCTGAACCAACTCTGGTGTATGAATGTGATGGAAAACTATTGCGCTATCTAAAATGAGGAAGCGGATGGTTTCAGAAAAACCTGGAAAGATTTGTATGAACTGACACAGAGGGAAGAGAACAGAACCAGGATGAAAATTTCTAGAACAAACCAGATGTTGCAAAGTAACAACACTTTGAAAAACTTAAGAACGTTCATCACCATAATGACCAACTGTGATTCCAGAAGACCCATGAGGAAGCAAACTACCCATCTCCTGACTCTTTTTGCACATGAATATGGGAGTGTTTTGCTTGACTATGCATAGTTATTACAAGAGGTTTTGGTGTTGTTTTTTTTAATAGGAGTTTGGGGAGGGAGAGAAAATAGATTTTTGTTTACAAAAAATTTAATTTTTAATAACTAAAAATGGAAAAGCAAGCTTTATGAAAGAGATATGTGGTTTCACGTACAACCCGCTTTTTCTGTTTTACTTTGTATATTAAAAAAGTTTCTTTTATTTGGTATTTGTTAAGTTTAGAATGTTTAATATAATGTAATAATAGAACGTAATAATATAACACAGGAGTATATGATTTGGGGAGTGGGGTAGGGCGGGGGATGAGAAGGCCAAACCAGTGATTTCTGTAACATAGGGAAATCTTGGTAAGAAACCTCCCTCAATCAAGTGCAAAGATAGGCCCCTACTGTATTATTTATAGTCTAAGAGAGTGGACTGAGGTATTAAGAGGTTAAGGCACTTGCCTAGGGTCTCATAGTCTAAGTACGTGTCAGGGACAGAACTTGAACCCAGATCTTCCCGATTATAAGGCTGGCTCTAAATCCACTCCACCACTTCACCTGCCTGTCTCTGTCCATCTCTCTCTCCCTGTGTCTATGTCTGTTTCTGTCTCTCTCTGTTTCTCTCACTATTTAAGTATTAAAATACTTCACAAAAGCCCTGCTCTGGTGCCTCCTGCTAGCACAGAGGTGACCCTTGCTTGCTCTGACCCTGGTTCTTGACCTTGACCCTTGTTCTGCTCTGCCAGTAGAACACAAGCCCTGCAGTTTCTATTATGCTGGAAAGACCTGCAGAGAGCTCATGGTCTCTGGCTGTCCCTTACACCTGGAAGTTCTTCCTCCTCCACTCTGACTACTGACCTCTCTGGCTTCCTTTAGGTTCCAACTAAAGTCCCACCTCCTACTGGAAGCTTTCCCAACCCCTCTCAATTCCAATGCCTTCCCTCTGTTCATTATTTCCTATTTTTCCCATATATACAACTTGCTTTGTATCTATCTGTTTGCATGTTATCTCTCCCATTAGATGAGGAGACCAGCTCTTCGAGGATAGGGACTGTCTTTTGTATCCCCAGCACTTAGCATAATGCCTACTGAATCATGGGAGGAGACCGGAGCTGGGAGGTCATCTGTTCTACTTCCTCAGAAGTAAAGTGACTGGTCCAAAGTCACACAGGCAATTAAGTGGTAAAGTTGACATTCAAACTCAGGTCATAAGACTCCAAGTTCAATGCTCTTTTCGGTCCTGGCCAGAGACTGCGTCTGCTGACTGACAGCTGAGGTAAATACAGAGAAGCTCATGGCCAGGAGGCCAGTCATTACATGGTGAATTCTTTGGCCACAGAGACCCATGAACCTAAGTAAAAGACAAACAAAGCTGCATCATGACCGGGAGGAGGTGTGGGAGAGACTCTCTTTCTGCACCTGCAAGAATGGCAGAAGAGTAGGGAAAGGAGTCAGACAAATTACGGCACAGAGACGGAAGAAAACACTGCTGTACCATAACAAATGGAAGGTTTCAGAGACACCTGGGAAGCCTCTTAGGAACTAACGCAAAGTGAAAGGAGCAGAACCAGGAGAACTAGTGATACAGTAACATCAGTGTTGTAAAGAAAAACAACTTTGAAAGACATAAAAACGTTGATCCATGATCCAGGCTATCCCTGTTTCCAGAGAGCTGATGATAAAGCATGCCGTCCACTCTTGACAAAGAGGTGACATACTCCAGATGTAGAATAAGAGATGTAGTTTTGGACACAGCCAACATGGGAATTTTTGCTTAGAGAACAGGGAGGCTGAATTGTATCTGCAAGACTCAGGAGTGCTCTCTATCCCAGGCTTCTCGTTTCAAAAAAAAAATCAGTGCTTTCAATATCAATGCTCTTATATGTAGCACTTATATCAGATTGCATGCCATCTTGTGGAGGGAGACAGGGAGGAAGGGGGAGAAAATTTAAAACTCAAAAGCTTATAGAAGTGATTGTTAAAAACTAAATTAATTTTTAAAAATATCAAGGCTTTTCTGGTGATGCTACTAAGAATGTAAGCCCCTTACGGACAGGGTGGAGGAGTTGTTTCATTTTTGGTTTTATATCCAGAGCACCTGCACTGCCTGGCCCATAATCATTACTTCATAAATCTCTGTGAACTGACTCATTCATTCACTCAAACAAGTATTTACAAAGTGCCAGGAAGGTTGGTGCAGGAGAAACAAAGACAAAAAGAAAACATTCCCTGCCCTCCAGGAGCGCACATTTTATTGGGGAGACAATCTCTTAATTGAGGCCAAACTGAATCCTACTGAAGCCCTTTCTCGTCTATCTTTCTCCAGGCTAAACAACGCTATCCTGCCTCTGCTCCTCACCAAAGCAGGAGGGGCAGAATTGAGTCTTATCTAAATTGCAGCTTTTCTCACTATAGAGAAAAGGGAAACATTGTACACAGCAGGTACTAAAAGGAGAACCAGACTATAAGATTATCTCAAAGGACCAAGCAAATTTTTGCATCAAGTGACATGCCTCACCCCTCTGGTGTTTTTTAAAAAAAAAAAAAAAGCTTTCTGATAGTTTTCTGAAGAAATCAAAGCTATCTATAGTCATATGAAAAAATGCTCTAAATCACTATTGATCTGAGAAAGCAAAATAAAACAACTCTGAGGTATCACCTCACACTTGTCAGATTGGCTAATATGACAGAAAAGGAAAACGACAAATGGTGGAGGAGATGTGGAAAAATTAGGACATTAATATACTGTTGGTAGAGTTGTGAACTGACCCAACTGTTCTGGAGAGTACTTTGGAACTATGCCCAAAGGGCTATAAAACTATCCAAATCCTTTGGCCTAGCAATATCATTACCTGGTCTATATTCCAAAGAGAGCAAAGAAAAGAGAAGACCTATACATACAACAACATTTACAGCAGCTCTTTTTGTGGTAGCAAAGAATTGGAAATCTAAGGGATGCCCATCAATTGGGGGATGGGTGAAGTGGTATATGATTGTGAGGGAATACTATTGTGCTATAAGAAATGATGAGCAGCATGCTTTCAGGAAAACCTGGAAAGATGCACAATGAAGTGAGCAGAATCAGAACACTATACACAGTAACAGCAATACTGTATGATGATCAGTTATAAATGACTTAGCTGTTCTCAGCAACAAAGATCCAAGACAATTCTGAAGGACTCGTGATGACAAATGCTATCCATCTCCAAAGAAAGAACTGATGGAGCCTGAATGCAGATCAAAGCAGACTTCTTTACTTTATTTTTTCATAGGTTGTTTTTTTGGTCTGTGTTTTCTTTTACATTACAACTAATATGGAAATGTGTTTTGCATGACTGCACATGTATAACCTATATCAAATTGCTTGTCTTCTTAATAGTGAATGCTGATTGTTTTTACCCACATCCAGAGAAAGAACTATGGAGTCTGAATGCAGATGGAAGCATGCTCTTTGCTTTCCTTTTCCTTTGTTATTTTGTTTTATTGCTTCATTCTCATGGTTCTTCCCATCAGATCTAATTGTTCTTTACATCATGACTAATGGTAAAATATGCTTAATATGAATGTATAAGTAGAGCCTATATCAGATTGCACGCTGTCTTGGGGGTGGCTGAGGAGAGGGAGGGGGAGAAAATTTAAAACTCAAAATCTTACAGAAGTGAATACTGAAAACTAAAAATAAATTAATTATTAAAAATTGTTTTTACATGAAAAAAATATTTTAAAAAAACAACAGGAGGATGATAGAGAAGGATGTTGATGAATTCGAGGTGCAGTGGATAAGGGGATAAGGAGAGGTCATCTGGTACCCAAATTCATCCCAAAGGACCCTATTCTAGCCCCACAAAAGTCACCTTGTTCCCCAGCCCAGGCTTGGGTTCAGATCTTGGGGCAGGGGTAGGGATGATCTGACACTCACGGATGACTTCCACTTTGTAGGTGGCATTGATCTCGCCAGCACGGTTAAAGACGCGGCATGTGTACTTTCCACTGTCCTCTGGCTTCAGGTTCTTCAGGTTGAGTGTCCATTTCTTCTTCTTGTGCTCGCCAACCTCCTGGGGTGTCAAGGTCTTGTCATCCTTCAGCCACATGATGTCTGGCCGTGGATGGCCACTGGCCACGCACTTGAGCCGTACAGAGCTGCCCACGGGTCGGGCAATCACCCTCCGCCGCATCTTAGAGGGCTGGGTGAATCGAGGTCGGGCTGGAAGGACAGAACAGGGATAAGTGAGGTGAGGGCAGAGAGCACACTACAGTCAGCTTGACTGGGGTTGGAAAAGTCAGTTTTCCATCAGCAGGACAAGGGGTGAGGAAGGCAGAGGAGGTAGAGGACAGGACTCTGTGCTCACGAAATTCCTTATCTGGCTGAGAAAACAAGGCTCACATCACCTCAAACAATCTGAGGGTCTTGTTCTTTGAGACTTTTAGCTTGCGTGAGACTTTTATGCCTTTCTATGTTCTACTTATCACTTCCAGCCCCCCAAGCCCAGCTCCATCTTTACCCTTCCATTAGTTCATGGTAGAAAACAGCCAGATTTCTGGGGCATTTATGTGTTGAACTTGAACCCCAGAGGTCTGAAGACAATCAACTAGCTGTCCAAGGCCCAAAGCAGCTTGGAAAGAAGTGGAAATAATTCTAGAAGTCAGGAATATGACCAGGAACTAGACTTTGGATTCATACTACATCAAATCTGGTAACCAATTTGCCAACATTCATCACAAAGCTCTGAGTTATAGCTCCAAGATCCCAGAGTCCAGCTATCATCAACTATGAGTTTCAGGAAAAAAACAAAACTAAAACCTCTGGGGTCCATATCTCAGGCCACAGAGATTCTGAGCACTGAAATTGGGGCTAACACTTCCAAGGGGTTGGGTTCATGTTCTGGGTTCTGGTGTCAAGCCACCACCAAAGCTCAGAGCTCTCTGACTTCTCCATCTTAGATTATAGACTCTTGTCACTACATCTGCTCTGCTCCTTAAACTCTCCACCCTGGGAAGGCATGCCTGTACAAACCAGGGACTTTGGTCTCAATGTCCCTGCCATCCCCAGCGTTAGCCCAACCCCCAAGACTTCACAGCCAGCCCAAGACCTACATTCATGTTCCTTTTCTCTAGATCTCCCTCCTCTTCCAAAAAAACAAAAACAAGAAAAATAAATCTGAAATCTAAATCAGACCTATGTGTGGATGACAGGGAGCAAATGACCAAGGGGATTTGTAGGTTAGTAAGTAACCATGGATAAAGCAAATATTTTGAGAGGGAGACGAGAGAGAGAGAGAGAGAGAGAGAGAGAGAGAGAGAGAGAGAGAGAGAGAGAGAGAGAGAGAGAGAGAGAGAGAGAGAGAGAGAGAGAGAGAGAGAGAGAAGAGAGAGAGGAGGGCAGGGGTTTCTTTCTAGTTCCCCTCCCATTATACCACTTAAGTAACCTTCAACAAATCTAACCCTCTACAAGAAGATTATCCTTTAGCTAAAGATAGCTATCTTGACCCTCTCCTAAATCTTCCCTTCTCTGGGATAAATATTCCCAGTTCTTCAACTGATGCTCATATGACACAGCCTCCAGCTGTCTTACCCTTCTGGTCCCTCTGGTTTGTCAATGTCCTTCCTAAAACCAGAACTACACACTGTTCCCCACTCTGGTCTCACCAGGGCAGGGGACAGTAGGACATCAATAGCTCTCTTGTTCTGGGCACCAGAGTTCTAGTAAACGGTAAGGAAACCTAACACGACATCACGCTACAAACTCTTACCCCACTGTTTGCCAGATGCATCTTCCTGGTCACCATTGGAGCCTTCGGGTCCTGGGTTCTCCTTCCCCATAGTGACATCATCTGTGGAGACAGACAGAGAAGAGATGAGCGGCCAAAGAGGGGAGAACAAGGCATATATAGATCACTGACCATCAACAAACATTCCCTTAGAGCCCACTTGTCTCCAGGAGCTCCTAGTCTGGGAGGACAGAGGAAGAGCAGTCCAGGCCCTGCCCTCAGGGAGCTCTCAGTCTCAGAGCTATACAAAGTCCATGGGTGACTAGGGCCAAAGTGATAAGTGACTGACACCTATAGAAAGCCAGGGCAGGGCAGTAGAGAGAACACCTGCCCATGTCTAACCCATGTTCAAGTTCTGATTCAAATGCAGGCCAGCCGTGTGACCCTAGAAAGGCCCCTTCCTCTCTCTCAATCCTAATCTCCTCATTAAAAACAGAACTAATATTACTCTAACTCCCAGGGGATGATGTGAGGAAGGCACTCTTGTAAAACCCCGAGGAGCCGTAGAAAGGAAGGGTCGTCATTCACAAGTGCCGTCAGGAAAGGCTCCCCAGGAAGCTTCGGTGCGTGAGTGAAGCCTTGAAGGATGGGCAGGCTTTGGGAAGGTGCTGGTGAGAGTCACATGTCAGCACCAGATCAAACACAGAAGGCCTTGAAGGGCAGGTTGAGGAGTATGGATTTTATCCTGCAGGGAGCTCCAGAAGGTTTCTGAGCAGAAGGCAGTGCCTTGAAAACTTTCAGAAGAGCTACAAACATGGGAGGGTTTAGGGGTTCTTTGAGAGAATCAGCATAGCTTAGTACATCTCTGAGATCCAATTCTATTTGGGTGACCTCTCTTACCCCTCGGTGCTTTAGCTTCCTCATCTATAAAATGGGTCTGAAAACAGTGACACTACTTGTCTCACAAGGCTGTGAGGAAAGCCCTAACCAAGGTGAGCCTTGATGTGGTAGTGTTATCAACCCACGTGGCCTTGGGGTGGAGGTGATGGGGTGTTGTAGACTGACGCTCAGCAGCCACCCAGAGATGGCGTCTCAAAGCCCCCTGAGCAAATAGCCTCTAATCTGAGCGGGCTGTACAAAGGCCTCATGCCCCACCCTCCCATGGCATATCACAGTCGGTCCATCTATCTGTCCACAGCCCCCCCCACCTCCTCTCCCCCTCCCAAGCCTTGCTCTCTCCTGCCCAGCTACCCCACCCTTCCTCCCCTCCTTCCCTCCCTCCCTCCCTCACACACACCAACCGCCTGGCATTCATTCTGGGGCCCCCTGGCCTGTGGCCAGGCCTCTGATGTGAGCCGCCCGCCCGATGCAAATCCCCCCCTCCCCAGCCTTTGAAGAGGCGGCCTCTGAGTTACCTACAGGCCTTCCCCTAAAGCAGCAGCTCAGGCAGGGCAGGACAGGGCAGGGCAGGGCAGGGGAGATGAGAGAGGTCTGTCCCTATTCCCGGACTCCCGTGTAAATATTTTTCTGAGAGGTTGGGAGAATTGGGGGGGGGGGAAGGAGGGGGGGTGCACTTTACAAACAGAGGGTCTGTTTAGCCAGGACCGCTTTGATCTCATCGGGGCTCACACAATGAAAGAGGTCGGCAAGTCCGAGCACAAACAGACCCATCCAAGCAAGCCGCTAAGCGGCACATCTGGAGACAGGAGGGGCTCTGTCACAGGCTCAATGTGGGGCCCCCATTACACACACACAACCAAACTCCTGCCCTTAGCCGAGACAGAGAGACCGGGATCTGGGACCAAAGCACCCAAGCTGGGTCACACAGGGCAAGCTCATTAACTTCTCTGTGTCCACCCTGTCTGACTGATCCTGGAGGTCCCACTGGGACACAGAGCCCAAGACAGGCAGGCAAGTGCTGTCAGCCGCCCCAGGATGCCCGAACTAGGCAGTGGCACGCAGCACTAGTGTCAGAAGGCTTGGCTTTAGGTGCCATCTCTCCTGTGTGTCTGCAAAAGTCTCTTCCATTTCCTAAGCCCTAGACTCTTCATCTATAGAACGGGGCAAATCAGTAACAGACAGCTAGAATCCAGGTGACCTGACCCCCAGGCCAAAGCTCTTCAGCACGAGAAAGAGCTGAACTAGGAAACATCATAGACCATGTTTAGTACGACACGCTTCCAAATCCATATGAAATAGAAGACACTGATGTCCTCTCACTAACTCATCATTGTAAATAACACTTCTTACCACTCTGTGACACACCAGTAATTTTAGGGGTTACTAAAAGGGAAAGGATTATTTGCCCCTGAGTTTAACGGCCCCAAATTCCTGTGTTCCTAATTCTTCCATTTTTTTCTCAAGGGTCACTGTCAGGACTCTTGCCTGGACTGTTCTAATAGCTTTTTAACTGACTTCCCTATCTCCAGTCCCTCCCCTCTCCATTTATCTTATCACACAGTCGCCCAAAGGGATATCCCTAAAGCTCAGGCCTTCCTGTGTCACAACCCTACTCAAAAACTTTCCGTGGCTTTTTAGCTAGGTACTCGATGGCTTCCACAATCTGGCTCCAATCCACCTCTCTAGTCTTCGAGAAGACTCGTCTTCGTGTACTCATGACAGGCAGCATTCTAGAAGGGGTCATTGTTGGACTGGGAACCAGCAAGACCTGTATTTAAATCCCACCTCTAATATTTATTAGCTGTATGACAAAGGCTAAGTCATATCTTCATCTTCATCACCATCACCATCATCATTCTCATCATCATCATCATCACCATCACCACACCACCACCACCACCACCACCACCATCATCACCACTAAAATGTCCCACCTTTAGAATGTAATCTCTTGCAAGTAGGGATTGTCTCATTGTACTTGTCCAGCCCAATACCCAACACACAGCAGGTGCTCAATAAATACCTGCTGAGGGATGGATTTCCAACTCTAAAATCAGCTTTAAGGTTTGCAAAGCACTTTACAAATATCCTCTCATTTCTCACAACAACCCTAGGAGACAGGTGATATTGTTATCCCTGTTTTAGAGAAGAGGAAATTGAGGTAGGCAGAGGTCAAGTAACTTGCCCAAGGTCATATAGGTAATAAATATCCGAGTCCACATTTGAACTCAGGTCTTCCAGAATCCAGATCCAGGGCTTTGGGTACTACACTACCTATCTGCCTTAACCTCTCTAACTCTCAGTTTCCTCATTTGTAAAATGGGTAAAACACCTGTAATACCTTCCCCATAAGGTTGAGCTGAGGACAAAATGAAATAATGCCCATAAACTAAAAACAAACCCTGAGTGCTGCATAAATGTCAGTAGTAGTACTAGTAGTCCCTAGTACTAGTAGTATCTGGTAATATCTAGTACTGGTAGTACCTAGCACTAGGAGTATCTAGTCAATCTGGATTTCTGGCTGTTCTGTAATCCTGTCCTTATACCACCATTATATGTTTCTATAGGCTAACTACAGGGCCAGAAGGCACTCCACTCCTTATCTATTCTGGATGAAAACCTTTCAAGGCCCATTTCTGGTGCTACTCTTCCCAAAGCCTTCCCTCATCTTCAAGGCAATGCTGCTGCTAGTAGGGTAGGGTCAGGGACTGGATCGTTCATTTCCTTATCAGCTGGCACATTCTCAGCCACTTTTAGTACTTCCCAGAGCACTAAGAGGTTAAGAGCGTCATCACCCTGGGACACAGGCAGGCAAGACTGACCACACAGTCTCCTATGTCTCTCCATGTCTTTAACCTGGCTTTTCCACATGCATGAAACCCACTTCGTCTTCACATCTGTCGCACACAATCCCTTCCCTTCCTTTAAGACCCACTCAAGCATCATCTTCTGCATGAAGCCTTTCCTGATGCCCTCAACTGCTAGAGTAGGTGCGCTCCCAAACTATTCTTTCCTTACCTGTATCTACTCACTTTATATGAATGCCACATGGGCATCTAAGAAAATCTCAGTGTAATTTTAAGTTATTTATACCTATTTAAGCTACTCAACCCTCACCAAGATTTTGGAACATCTAGGCCGTAATTAATACAGCTAGGTCCTAATTAGTACAAATAACGAAGTGCTCACACGTATTTGAATCCACACTATTTGAAAATACAGTTATATAAAGTATGGTCATTGGTTCCAGCCCAATGGAAATATACAACGCAAATTCAAATAATGCAACCACTTAAGGAGACTCATTATTTGCACCAGTCAGGCTCAAGCTGTGTATACTTGTCCTACCATTAGAATGTAAACTCCTGGGAGTAGGGATGGGTTCATTGTTCTTGTATACTTAAAGCCTAGCTCAGTGCCCAGAAGGTGCACGACACATATTTGCTGACTGATTGATTTCTAACACTAAAGCCAGTCCTATCCTTGACACCAAAGGCATTAAAAAGAGGGCCCACGCTGCCAGCAACACTCAAGTGCCAACTGAACCAGGTTAAAATGTAATTGGGAAACATTTAACAAAATAAATAAAAACACAATAAAACATAGATAATGGCCATATGTGGTTTTCTAAGTCAATATGCGACCTGCAGGGATTCTGACCTAGAATTAAGTGGCCTCCATTTCCATGTGAGTCTGACGTCCCTCCGCTACACCATGATGACTCTTGCTACTACTGTGTTAAATTAAATATACACTTTAAAAACTTAGACATAACAGAAGTTCAGTTTCATATACAATCCTCTTTTTCCCTCTCCTTTGTATATAAAAACGTCCTTGTTTGTTGATTTTTAAATTATAATAAAAGGAAAAAATGTTTTAAAGAAAATGATCTGTCAAGCTTTTTGGAAAAAAAATAACTAATATTTATATAGTGTTTTAAAACTGCCAGCTTTATACAGATTATTTCATTTGAGCTTCACAAGTCTGTGGGTTAGGTCCTGTGGTGATCCCCATTTTACAGATGAGGAAACTGAGACTCAGGGATGTTAAGTGACTTGCCCCCAGTCTCAAGGCTAGAAAACAATGGGGGTGAGATTTAAACCTACAGTCTTCCTCATTCTAATCCACAGAAATTATGGAATTTCCTAGCTAAGACTTCAGTAACTACCTAATCCAATCTACATCCAATGAAACCGACAAATGGTCATTCAGTCTTCATTTGA